GCGCAGGTATATAAGGGCGCCGCCACCGCGAGGTGAGTTAGTTACAAGATAACAAGCTACAAGTAAAGTAAGCAGAGAAGCGAGTTGCGAATAGGCAAGATATAAGTTTAATTGTGTTACCAAGTTTAGTTAAGCGCTGTTATTGCTTTAACAAGTATTGTAAAGTGTTTTTACTGTATTAGCGGGTATTGTAAATTTTTTGTTGTACAATAAAGTTAATTGTACTACGATTTGGTCATCGATTGCATTTGTTTAACAATCCAGCGATACGAACCGAGAGATTTGGGAAATCCGGAAGAGGTTTCAAGGATAATCGTAACAATACTAAAATTGAAGGAGCTGAAATTCCCCACAAAAACGGTCCATTCCCCAATTCCCCACGCAAACTGAAATTCCCAGCAAATCGGAGAATTCCCGACGGATTGGCTCCGCTGGTTCACACGATCTCGTCAGTGATAAGTCAGCCGACTCGAAACAATCGAAAAACATCTCGATTGTACAGTCGGGCTGCGAGTCGATTATAGACTCGATTCTAATTTTGCAACGATAGCGATTCTCTCGAACGTTTAACCATCTCGGACTCGCCCATCACTACGAAAAATATTGGATCAGAGCAAGAATGATAGAATACAAGATTGCGCCGTCCTGGGCGTTGACATTTGTGTACCACAAGTAAACAACGAGAGTTGAAACTGCCAAAGCAGTTCACTTTACAGCGAAAAACGTGTTTTAATTTTGCTAAATGCGAAAATATTGCATTTTTCACCTAATCTAGTAGAGAACAGTGAACATTTTAGTGCACTCCATTGCTTTGCAATTGAGGCTGCTTCAGCAAACGTTTTAGTACACTCCATTGCTTTGCAATTAAGGCTGCTGCAGAAAACTGCAGCAGCATCTCTGCGGGATTGATTAGTTAACTTGCTAATGGAGGCTGCGTGGAGCAGAAACATAATCATTGTGAGGAATTGCTGTTAATATAATAATAGAGAAATATTTCGGGAACGGCTTTGCCGTGCCCTATGTACACAAAATGCAGCGATTCGTCCCAGCGCTACACTTGCATCTACGCTTCTTGCATCTTGACGGCTGTCGCAATTTAACACACATCACTTCATTGTATTAGTTTTTACGCAGTCTTCAACTCAAAAATCACTCACAAATTGCAAATTAACACAATTTAAACTGATTTTTCACTTATAATTCATATTTGTCTTTCGCTGATTTGTAAACAAAGGTTTATTTACAAGTTACCACAACTGTCAAAATCGGCAAAACCAAAGTAGCGGTACCACTGACGGCGCCACCTTTGTTCGCTGCACCGTGGGATCAGAGCTAATAATTTTATGCACTGCTCTTTAATGATATGACAATATTGTTGTCAGTGTGACCGTTTTGATCAAAGTGGATCTAAACTGATACATTTTTCGATCAATTTTGGAGATATTTTTTTCAATACAAATGAAAAAAATCTGTAAAGTTTTATGCATTACAAAACATGTCGTGCACCTGTGGCAACGTACATCCAAAAGTTCATTGTCGTTCTCTGAACGAGCCTTTCATATATTGTGATTCATGGTCCATGTCGAAAAACATCAAAATGTGAACAAACGAACAATATCATAGCGCTGCATTTTTTATTTTCGCTATGCTCAATATCAAAAATTAGGGATTGGTACTCGGCAATTCGGTGCTCGAAAAGGCCCTGTTTCCACAGGAAAACGCCTATGTCGTGATAACCATGTCACAAAATATATTTCCAATGGATACCGCCTTATTGCTTGACATCTATTGCAGGCAATTTGATAGTTTGACAGCCATATTTTCACTTGATAGAAAGCGTGCTGGTGGTTATATCGATGAAATATTAATATTAAATCAAAATAAGAATCTGTTCCCTATTGGATTATTTATGACAACGAAATAATTTTGTTTTGGAAAATGGTTTTTCATAAAAATTATTGGTTTTATTCCGTATTGATGCTTTGATACTTAAATGAAAAAAGTGGTACATATTGAAAAATTTTTAGTCTCTTTTCTGCTACAATTTTTGACAAGCCGCGGTCACACTGATTGTTGTACTGCTATTAATTCTATTTCTATTCTATTTCTATTTTTCCAGCGACAGATAAGGTTCTTCCTCTTCTTTTATGTCAAACGCATACAATAGGAGTGTTCGCTATGCAACTGCCAGTAAGAATTAGCCAGTAACAAAATTCAGAGAACAAGGTACCTTACTCTCCCAAAGAGAGAAACTTACTATGTTTTGCGCGAACAGGAATTAGCAAACATTAGCAAGCTTCACTGCCAGCTGGCGTCCACGGTTGCATTTCGAGCATAATAAAATTTTTAAATTATTTCAGGTGGAAACGAAAACAGTACGACCATACGTATATTTCTTCTTATTCTGACTTTCCTCAATATACGCTTCAATTTCATTGTGGAAGTTACGCAAAAAATTTCCCCGCACGTATTGGCAACTACCCCTCCAAATGAAATGTCGAAATTGTGCTCTCTCCTTGCAAGTTTTACTGTGTTTTTGGCTAACCGAACACGATTTGGTAACAATTGGTACCAACTTGTACAAATTTTTTGCTTAACGAACACTCCTAAATTCATGATATCCCCGCCGCGTTCAAAAAAATCATGTCGTTGTCGACAAAGTGTTTAGTTAGTCCCCTTTCAGACACGTCAAGTCTTGAAAGCAATTTTTTCGCATTCTCTTTTGTGTTTTCTATTTGCTTCCACTCGCGTCAACTTTAATTGAATTCATGTCCTTGGTTCTTTAAATGGGAAGCAACGAAACGATCAAAAGAGACAAGAAAACTTGAAACGAATTGACGGTACGGACGGAGGTATCTGTACTCTTCCCTTGTCTTCTCACCTCCTTCGCCCACGAACGAGCAGACTTGAAAGCAAGACTGACGTGTCTGACAGGGGACTTAATGAAGATAACAAATTGGAAGTTTTAATAAATAAAACTCGATCACGAAAAATCGACTTTCAGTCGAATACGACTTTGCCATACTTGATCTTTTATGGTTGTTATTTTTTGTTCACATAGCGAGTTTCGTAAAATTTGTAAAAATATTGAAATTTCAAAATATTTTACCGAGTTAAAAATCTATAATAAATGTCTAAAATATTTACACCCACAAATCAGATTCGCCTTACCAATGTAGCAGTTGTAAGGCTTAAGAAAGGAGGCAAGCGTTTTGAAATTGCTTGCTACAAAAATAAGGTGTTGTCCTGGAGGAATAACACGTGAGTATGATGGAAATGAGATATGTATATTTATAATAATTTTCTTTCCACTTTAAGAGAAAAAGACATAGATGAAGTTTTGCAAACGCACACAGTATTTACAAATGTTTCCAAAGGGCAAGCAGCAAAGAAAGATGAGCTCTTAAAGGCTTTCGGCAAAACCGATGAGACAGAGGTTTGCAAGGAAATTTTAGCAAAGGGTGAGCTACAGGTGTCTGAGAAAGAGCGCCAGTCTGTTCTGGATTCACAATTGAACAGCATTATAAACAGTGTAGCCGCGCTTTGTGTTAACCCAGAAACGCGTCGTCCTTATCCGGCATCCATTATTGAGAAATCGTTAAAAGATGCTCACTTTTCAGTAAAAATGAACAAGAATACAAAGCAACAGACTTTAGATGCCATAAAGTTACTACGTGAGCACATGCCTATAGAGCGTTCACGCATGAAATTGCGAGTTTCGTTCGCCGGCAAAGAATGTAGTAAGCTTAAGGAGTCTGTGAGCAAGTTGGCCACCAAAGTCGAGCATGAAGAGTGGGACGAAGCAACGCTACACATGGCATTACTCATCGACCCAGGCAATTATCGTGTTATTGACGAACTTGTACGGAATGAAACTAAAGGCAAAGGTCTTGTTGAATTGCTCGAACTAAAAGAGGTAGTGGAGAATGAAGACATCTTTTAGTTTAGATAATATATGTATATTTTATTGTAACCTTTTTATATTTAAAATTTCAAAGAATAACTAATTTCAAAATAAATGTATCCATGCAACTTGTAATGCCAGTTAATTTAATATACTTATCTATTTTACAAATGATAGAGGACTTGATACTTAAATTAACAAGTGTTTACATATATTATTATAAACATGTATATGTATAGCATGCATGCTTAGGTTATCCCCTCATTTGCGTTTTTTTAAATTTTCAAAACGACGCGATAGATCATCAAAGTCTATATCATCATTATCAGTATTATTTGACTTTGGTTCCTCCGCCGGGAACTCCGGCAAATCACTTGGAACGTTTGGCAAATTTGGTATATCTTGTAAAGCTGGTGGAGCGCTTGGACCTGGTGGGGGCAATTTTTGCCGTGGCTGCGGTTTAGGTTTATTTTTATCCTGCAAAGAATTAATTTGTCAATTAAGTGCACATTTTCAACTTCGAAAGAAATTAAATTTAAAAGTTACTCGTGGATTCCAACAGAACAAGGTAATTTTTACAAAGAAATAAAAAAAACTACCTGAATATTAAAGGGATTAATTGATGAGTATCGCGGCGGGGGATCATCGTACTGTTTAGGTCGCTGTTATATAGGAGAAAATAAATTAAAATTGAAAATAAAAATCAAAGCAAAGCAGGTGTAGTAATAAGGGTTTTGAGATGTGTAACAATGATTAAATTGCAAATTAAATATGTTAAGTGATAAGCAAAAAGGCGTGGATGTGTCAGTGGATAAAAATAAACAAAATCAAAGCATAAGTTAATTCGGAAAATTTATAATTATAACAGGTTCACATATGCAACAAGGACAATTAAAAACCTATGTCCTGCATTGGAAACTCAATTTTCCAGCTACATTGCAAGTATGTATGTATGTATGTTCATAAACAATGTTAATAACAAGCTATACACAAATTACATGTTTCTTGATGAAAGTATAACAAAACTCACGAAGAGATGGCCAAATATTGGAACGTATGAAGATTTTAACGCAGCACATTAGAATGAGAAAAAACAGTTTTTAGGTTTGTATTCATGGACGTATAGGTACTAAGAATTTGCTGAAGAAATCTACGAACATATTCATACATTAACTGAAGGAAATACATATNATTTGAGGTGGTGGACCTACTCCACCACCACCTCCCAAGTTATTTCGGTCTGATAAATCAATTAAATGTGCCTGTGGTTGATCGCCTAAAAACAAATACGAGCTGATTGAAAACAAAAAACATAAATAAATGATACAGAAACACCTACTGTTGGCCTTTTCCTCTTGCATTACTTGTGGGTCGGGCTCATACTC